ATCTTTTATGATGACGTGTTTGTAAGGGAGTATGGATTCCACCTCTTCCTTTAGAGTCATGTGAATGAGAGTGGTGTGCACAATATTGGTGACGATCTGACAACAACTCAATGTAGAGAGATGATGTTGATGAGGATCAACTAAGGCTTGGCTCAGTGATTACTATGTGGTGTCACTTTACGCAACGAGTGATATCGATTTGGAGATAATTGTAGGTTATCTTCTATTTAGAGTAGTCTTTGAGCTAAAAGGTGTGCATTCTGCTATTGCACTAAGTTGTACACGCTAATGAGAAATTCATTTGCATACCTAGACTGGCTTGAAGTTTTTGGAGGCTCTAGAGCATCTATGGTCCAAGGAATTGTAGTTGTGATTGCAGATCTTTGAAAGTTTGACCTTTAAGTAACTATTGAAAAGGTTGAAAGATCGACAAGATCTAGAATATGTGTTGGTCAATATAAGGAGAAACAAGATCCCGAAGAGTCGAAATGATGGGAAAAGTCACAAGGACTAGAACAAATTCTCCTGTTGTATGAGGCATGGATTTTCTTGTAGAATTAAGAGCACAATCGTTACTTCAGCGAAGGCGTTGGCCTTACGTTTGGTGGTTACCCGAGTAAACTTGGATACAACCATAGTTTCTACAGAGTTTATCATATATTATAACAGAAGAAAGATTGGTCTCCATGATGCAACAGTTAAAAGGCTGTGGATTTTTGTGGAAATTCTAGGGAATCAGAGGTCGATTTCTATATATGATGCCATTCTTCTGGTCACGAACGAGAGATCAGTGATATAGATGGAGTGATGTAAGTACGAAGTGCGCCTAAGAGGGGGATGAATTAGGTACTTTAAAAGTTTTACCGTTTTAGTGATGATGGATATTATTTTTCTGGTTTAGTGCATGAGTTTACAAATGTGTTTCTTTCTTTTCTGGTTTATGACTAGTGATGAAAGCGGTAAATGCGGAAAAGTAAAGAACACAAAGATGTATCCTGGTTCCCCTCACAATCTAAGAGTACTCCAGTCCCCTTTCAACATGAAAAAGATTTCCTTATTGTTAGATCTCTAGACAAGACAACCTAGTCCTTCTATACAAGACTCTAACCAATAAAACCACCAAGAACAATTCTCTTGGACCAAGAACAATCCTCTTGGATTTTCACTATGTCAACAATGAGAACAATCCTCTCAAGGTGACCTTACTTGTATCCAACAATCCTGGAAAAATAAGATTACAAAACCACTTGAACTTATTTTCAACGATCCTAAAAAATAAGAAAGTGTATAGTAATATTTGATTGATAGAGTTTGTAGTGCAATAATCACTTTGAGTGATTTTATCAGTGACTTGATATTCTCTTCCAATAACAATAATATAGAATGCTCAAAGTTTTCTGTTTAACAATATATGAAAATGTGCAGAAAAACTTTGTGTATGAAAGTGAAGGAAAAGCTTGAGTTTTTATATTTTAAAATTCAGAAACTATTGATTGGAAAAGGTACAAAATGATTTTGAAAATTCAGTATTTATATGTTCATAGCACCTATTTGAAACAACATAAATTTCTGCAAATGAATCATGAACAATTGTCAAGATTCAATGAAAAGTTTCCATGAAATGGTGTTATGAAAAGGTATGTTCAAAGCTGCTGATTTTAATAAACGTTCAGCATTCAATCGATTGCATCCTTGTGTAAATCGATTGCACGGGTTTTAACAGCTAAAAAATTCAAATATTTTCAGTGAGCAATCGATTGCACATGTGTGTAAATCAATTGCACTTTAAAACAGTAGCAAAATTTGATAGAGAGCAATCGATTGCACAAACATGAAAATTGATTGCACTTAGAAACAATAGCTAATACTTTGAAAACGTGAAGCATGCAATCGATTGCATCAACATGCAAATCGATTGCACATAAGTGAAAATTGATTTTTTGCTTAGAAAACTTGAGAAAAAGTTTGGACAAGATAAAACACTTCTTTTGATCATTGAGCATTTAAGACTTAAGTTCAAAGTAAGTATTATCATTATACCTTGTGAAATTTGCTAAGAGCTTGAGCCAAAGTCTTTTATTCAATGATGCATTTAGCTTGATCAAAATCTTTACCTTCTTGCCAATATAATTTGTCTTCATCAAAACAAAGTGCATTGAGAATCATTTGAGAAGCTTGATATTACAAGTGAGTCATTCTAAAGCCGTAAGCACTACTATAAAACGCACAAACAACAACACCTAAGTCACCACGTCAAAGGATCCACCGTGGTAGAATCTATTCTACTAGGCATTTTTTCCCCCAAAATTAAGCCACTTTTTTTATCACGGTTGGAAGTTCCAACCGTGGTAAAAAATGGCACATGGTCATGAGTCCGAATCTTGATGTTGTTGTTGTTCTACTGGTGTATATTTTATATTTTATTAAAAGACATAAAACAATAGGTATTTAATACAACCGTTGTTGTATGTAGCGCACATGGTCATGAATTCAAATCTTGCTATTGTTGCTTTTCTAGTGCTGCATTTTTTTTTTATATTTTATTAAAATACATACAACAACAATTATTTAATACAATTGTTGTTGTATGTAGCGTAATTATTGAGTTTCTTCACCATCCTTAAATAAATCTCAATCGTCCATTCAAGCGACTATCAACGCTCAGGACACCACCGTTAATGATTCGCGTGAAACCTAAGACTTAGACAAACTTTTAACTTAGACGTACTTCATCTTCTACCTTCAAACATCATCTTTCATTTACGACACTCTATTTCTCCACTAAATCAAGCTCGAAAATATCATTTCTTCCATAACCAAAACTCGAAAGCATATATTCTCTATCTTGAATGAGACAAGGAATATATTGATTCAAGTTAGCAACGTTAGTTGTTGTTGTTCTTACTGTTCTTTTTTTTTTTAGTTATTGTTGTTGTTGTTGTTCTTGTTCTTATTATTGTTGTTCTTATTGTTGTTGTTATTGTTGTTGTTGTATGTTGTTGTTATTGTTGTTGTTGTTGTTGTTGTTGTTCTTCTTCTTCTTCTTCTTCTTCTTCTTCTTCTTCTTCTTTTTCTTCTTCTTGTTGTTTTTGTTGTTCTTGTTGTTCTTCTTCTTGTTTTTGTTGTTCTTGTTGTTGTTCTTGTTGTTCTTGTTATTGTTCTTGTTGTTGTTCGTGTTGTTCGTCTTGTTCTTGTTGTTCTTACTGCTATTGTTGTTCTACTACTATTTTTTTAATTAAAAGTCATACAACAACGGTTAAGTTAACTAACCATTGTGATATCACGCGAACTTTCCAGTATACTACAACGATTCTAATATCGTGATTGTAAGTAACACATTTACAGTAATACTCTACACAATAACGCTTGGACCCGCGTGATCATATGGGTTTTTCCACCGTTGTTAAATGAGTTTTCTATAGTAGTGAAAGTGAGGTAAACCTGTAACATTAACACTATAACATCCAAGTCAATGCCGTTAGAGATATGTAACGTACAAGAGTGAGAATATGATCATCCGTGTTATGTCTTGTGGCAAGGCTTATATAAGGTAGACGAATAAAATTGTCTCTGTTTGATCTGACATGTGTTACAGAAAGTCGTTCGATCAAATCTAACGATGGGTAATAAATTTACAACTCAAATCAAGTATGAGACCCTTTTAGTGAAGTTTCATCATTCATTGGCCTTTCATAATAGTAGGGGTGTTCGCATATCGGTTTGGTTCAGTTTTGAGAGAATCTGATACCCAAACTGATCAAAAATATATGGATTGGTTTGGATTGGTTTGGATTGAATTTCACATTTGTTTGATAAAATCCAAACCGAACTAAACTGAGAAACAACAGGTTGGTTTAGGTTGGATTGGATTTTCACATTTGTTCGATAAAATCCAAACGAAACCAAACTGAGAAACAACATGTTGGTTTAAGTTGGATTGATCAGATACATTAGAAACAAATGTACAAAAATATTTTTAAAAGTTATTTAATTTACATCAACTAAAATTTGATAATAATATAAAATTCTTAATTTTTCCGTTCCTCAATATAGGTTATGAATGTCACAAATAACATTTTATTTTCTTCTTCTTAAAATTGGATATCTTATACTAATTTCTATAATAATTCTGATATAAATTATATGTATTAATATGGTTGACTCGTATAGACAAATTCACGGATAAAATTTTAAAAATATATTGTTCAAACCAATTAATATCAAATTTTATTAATTTTGTTTAATTTTTACTCAAACTTAAAAAATGTTTAAATTCCAATTTAATTGAAATTTGTCCGAAACAATAAATATCTCTATATAATAGTGCTTTGGATTAAACCATTATAAATGAGTCTTCCTAGACCTTTGGTTGATCTAAAAACAATATTTAATTAAATAGATTGATCTAGTCAACTTATTTTCACTACTAAATGATACTCCCTCTCAATTTTTAAATTCTTTTAAAAAATAATATTTGTTCTCTATTAAAATATATATTTTTCTATCTTCTTGAAATTATTTAATTTTCACTTCTAATATACAGTATTTTTCTTAAACCACATGAAATGTCCAAAACCTTATATAATAATCTCAAAGGGAGTAGTATAAACTAAGATTTGATAAAGTTTACTTGTCTAACCGCGTCGCTTTTGTTTGACTAAAAATTTCACAACTTGGCCAGGTAAAGAAAAAAAATCTAAATTACTAGTACTAATCTGGGTACCGTAACTTTATGATAATTACATTGAACACAAACCATCATTATCATCATATCTTATTCATATTAAAAGAAGAAAAGAGTATGAAACTGCGAAACACAGCACATAGACGCAATTTTAGACCCGCGTTAAAAGCGTATATATACATCACAGCACATAATAATCATTGAGATTTAGAGAGAGAAAAATAGAAAAAAATTAGTAGAAGAATACTACAACTACAGTAACAAGATAAAGAAAAAAGAAGTACTATTCTGAATCTGTATCTATTCTGTAAAACGAATGTCTACATTCGAATCCAACTCCGATGGGGTTTCACAGCGAGTCAACAGTCCGCGTTTCTCCGGTCCGATGACTCGCCGTGCTCACTCCTTCAAACGGAATAATACGAGTTCCGCCGCCGTCGGCGGTGGTACTCTCAGTACGCATACTGAGGTTGAGCTTCAGATTAATTCTCCGAGATCGGAGGAAGTTTCGGAGGCGGTTTTGGAGAGGAAACACGGTGGTGTTCATCATCATTATAATCAGAGTTATGTTTCGCAGAGAGTTCACGGTGGAGTTGTGAAGGGTTTTCTGAAGAGACCGCTTGAATCTATTGGTGTGGATTTGGGGTTTAGGGAGAGGAGAAAGATTGGGCATTGGATGTTTTTGGTTTTTTGTGGTGTTTGTTTGTTTATGGGGGTTGTTAAGATTTGTGCTACTGGTTGGCTTGGATCTGCCATTGAAAAAGCTCAATCGAATCAGGTTTCTTTCAATCTTGTTTGTATGATCTTATCTTACACTGTTGATTAAGTTTTTGAAATATTTAATTTAACTTAATTTAATCTTTAGGAAAGTTAAGTTTTGTAATTAGTGTGTGGAAGTTTGTCTAAACTGGAACCTTTATCCACCATTACATCATGCTTGCCGTGGATCTATTTTTATAAATTTTATTTGATTTTGTCATCTGGTTGCTGTTTTTGTTTTGGATTTTTGGGTATTCTGACTTAGTCGTCTTAAGTTTTTGGAGGTCCCCTTCTACGTTGACAAAAACAAAATAGAGGTCCCGACAATGATTTATGAGGTCCTATTTAACCACGGTTTAACCGTCACAAATTTTAGGCCATGTGCGGTAGACCGTCTTGCACGCCCTCAAAGACGGCTTCTGATTCTGAATAAACAACCTTTTCTCTTTTGAAGTGTAGAAATTTGCCTTGTCTTAGTTAATGCATACAAAAGTTGAATTTGCATCTTGAGAAATGTAAAATTTGTTATCCAGTTATTAATTTGTAGTCAACATGCTAGAACCAATGTCTGTGCTAAGCTTTTGATTTGTAAAATTTTTGAGTATATGCTTTTATGCAATCAACTAGGTTGTTTGTAACATTGTAGGAATTACTTTAATTTCTCATCTGTGGCAGTATATTGTATCATTTGTATGTCGTAGCTACCTTTTAGCTGAGAGCAATCTTACCAGCTTTAATATGGTGGACAACTCAATCAAGAGTTTTTGTTTCTCGATCTTTAGGGAGATGGAGTTGATTAAGAATTAGATAGATGATTATGTAATTTGACAACTATTTGCATTTTGTTTCCTTGTTTTACTTTCTTTTGTTTGGGGATTGGAAGGGGGTGTTTGCTTGTCTTAACTTACTGAGTAAATTATTTTACCTTTTATCAGGAACTATCTGACTCCAATGGTATAGATGATTTAAATGTAATGGATCAAAGATCAATTGGTTATGCATATAGGAGTCGAGAAGGAGATGTTGAACGAACTCTAAAGACGGTAGAAACGGGAGTAAGAAGCCAGGCTGATAAAGTGAGAAAACTCAAATCTATATCTCGTGTTTGTGGACTTAATGTTGTTTGGTTCTCAAGTCAGACCTATATTTAGAAATATCTTTTCATTAATCAAAGTTTGTTTTTCATTCAGGAATCAGATGTCTGGTCTAAACCCAACAGTGAAAATTTCACCCAATGTATTGATCTGTCTAAAAATCATAAAAGTATGAAATTTGTATGAGTTTGCTCATTTTCCTGTTATACAGTTGATTACTCCAAGATTTCCCTCCTCTCATTTTCAACGTATTTTTTGACAGAGCTAGATGCAAAGACCAATGGATATATTCTTGTAAATGCTAATGGTGGCCTGAATCAGATGAGATTTGGGGTATGCAGTGTTGATTTCTGATGCTATATTTTTGCAAGGCAGGCAAAAAGCATAATCTAATGTCTAAATATATTTTGATTGCAGATATGTGATATGGTTGCTGTTGCTAGGATTATGAAGGCAACACTCGTTCTTCCTTCTCTTGATCATACCTCGTACTGGGCTGATCAGAGGTTGGTTTACAACTTACTTTACCTCCTACTTTAGATTTGGATAATTGGATATCTTAGTGTTTTCTGCAAGCATGAAATTCATTCAGTTTCAGTTGACGCTGATTATCCACATTAGTTGACATAAGATTTTTAGTGAAAGACTTGTTCAAAGCATGACATAGTACATAACTAAAGACTATTTAAAACGTGCAATAAATTTAGCTTTTTAGACAAGTGATGAGTGATGAATATTCTCTCATTGAATACTTTTTGTGGTGTGTATATGACTTTCCTTTTAATATATTTGCAGTGGCTTTAAGGATTTGTTTGACTGGAAGCATTTTATCGAAACACTGAAGGATGATATCCATATAGTTGAGACATTACCACAAGCCTATACCGGAATTCAGCCTTTCTCAAAAACTCCAATATCTTGGTCTAAGGTAAACATAACTTGTATTCTCAGAATATGCTTGATTAGTTGATTTACCACATTCTTGTTGAGGTCAGCCGTCCATTCTTCTCATCTTTAGGTAACCACTTAGTTGTTAAGAAAACAAAAGGATCACTATCATGTAATGGCCTTATAGTTGTTAAGATCGAGATCTTGTATAAGATCAGAAGAAGGTAGAAAGATCATAAAACATTAGATCGGAAGATCCTACCCAATTTATTTTTGTAAGATCGAAAAGGGGGTGGCAAAATCGTAAAAAATAAGATCGTAACAAAAGTCGCAAGATCCTACTAAAACAAAAAATACTACTATATATTTGAGGTATTTTTACACAATATTTTGGTAGGCAAGTGTATTCGGAGGAAATGTCCCTCTTTCATATTCTTTAGACATGTAAGATCATGTTTTATTACTTTATTACCATTTTTTGCAGTAAACATATGTTAGACATTAGGGACATAGTTGACCAATTACTTGGTTTACCATAAGCCCATTGTTTAATACAAATCCTACATTTGAGATGTTTATTCTCTAAATCCTAAATCTTAAACTTCATCATTTTAGAAGGCATGCATTCACTGCCACATAACCGTAATTGTTGTGCCTCTGCATCTTGTCATCCTTCTCAGCCTGTGACCGTGGTGGCCGGAAAACGACTGGTCGTGGCTCGAACTGGCCAGGATCACACAAAACCAACGATGTCATAAGGTTATGATTTTGCAATGATCTTACTGCCGTACATGATTTTACTTGAGATCTGGATCGTTGGGGTTAGTGAGATCGTATAATCTAGATTTTAAGATATAGATCGAGATCTTGACAGTGTGTCACATTAGTTCATTTAGTCGCCTTATGTCAATGCCAAAATATTTTGCACATCATATAATTGCATCCCCTTTTAACTATGCTTCATATTACAATCAATGAGTGAACATAATGCTTATTCACAGGTTCCTTATTACAAGAGCGAAGTTCTTCCCCTCTTAAAGCAGCACAAAGTGATCTATTTCACTCATACTGATTCCCGGCTTGCTAACAACGGCATTCCAAGATCCATACAGAAACTAAGGTGCCGTGTAAACTACAGAGCATTGAGATATTCAGCTCCAGTTGAAGAATTCGGAAACAAATTGGTGTCTAGAATGCAGCAGAATGGAAATCCTTATCTTGCCCTTCATTTAAGGCAAGTTACAACTGCAATTTGTAATACAATTGAATCTATATGGATTAATAATGAGAGTGCCAAGTATTTTAAGTAACTGTTCCATTTCTAATCACCTTGTTCTATTCTCGTCTTTGACAGATATGAGAAGGATATGCTGGCGTTTACCGGCTGCAGTCACAATTTGACTGAAGAAGAAGGTGAAGAACTGAGACGGATGCGATATGAAGTCGGTCACTGGAAGGAAAAAGAGATTAATGGGACTGAAAGGAGGTTACTTGGAGGTTGTCCGTTAACTCCGCGAGAAACTTCCCTACTACTTAGAGCACTTGATTTTCCATCACACACCAGGATTTACCTCGTAGCTGGAGAAGCATATGGAAAAGGAAGTATGAAATATCTAGAGGATGATTTCCCCAATATTTTCTCTCATTCTTCCCTGTCTTCCGAAGAAGAGCTGAATCATTTCAAGAATCATCAAAACATGTTGGCCGGTATTGACTATGTTGTTGCCCTTCAGAGTGACGTATTTCTCTACACTTACGATGGAAATATGGCGAAGGCTGTACAAGGTCACAGGCGCTTTGAAAATTTCAAGAAGACAATCAATCCAGACAAGTAATAAATTCATTATCTATATCTTCTATATCCCTTCTACCATGCTGGTTTCACGATACACTCAATTTCAATTCATCGTGAAACTGTTTAGAGTTCATTCTCTGTATATAAACTGATTGTGATTTCAATGGTTTATGCAGGATGAATTTTGTTAAACTCGTCGATCAGTTGGATGAAGGAAACATTTCCTGGAAAAAGTTCAGCTCCAAGGTAAAAAAACTTCATAAAGACTCTATCGGTGCTCCATATCTAAGGGAGTTGGGAGAATTTCCAAAACTGGAGGAAAGCTTTTATGCAAATCCTCTTCCAGGATGTATTTGTGAAACAAGAAAAGAGCAGATACCCGATCTCGCCTCATAGCTCTCTTTCTTATGATGATGGTCTTATAAGAGTTACAATCAAATCGTGTTGTGTAAGCGGGATGATATATTTTCGACAATTCTTTCTTATGGAGATGGCAATGTGATGATTGTCCAAAAGCTGGACTATCTGATGCCATTGTCATACATTGCTTGGATGGTTTGATAAGATTACAAGTGGCCATGAGTTTTGGTAAGAAACTAAACTACCCAGATGCAGTTTTAAAGGATCAAGTTTGGGCTGGCCAAAGTATACTCTACTGTCAATACATGCAATAGATGCTAAACACCATACCTTATTAAGAAAACCTCATTCTAACCACACTTTTTAATAATTTTTTTCTTCCTCATTATTTTATTAAATATTTGTACTAATTTCAAGAAAAAGTGGTGGGTCTGTATAAGCTGTATTCTTGTTGTACTAAATAATACATGAAAGAATTATTTCAAGTTTCTTTGCCTCTGTAAATTTTTTTCTTTTTTAATCAATTATGCATTTGTAATTCTTTTAAGCAGGTTTCTTACATTAAGTCATCCCATTTGATCATTAATTAATAGAACACAATTTTCACCCCTTAATTATTTTGATTAGGATATATTATATTAAAAATATGATAATAATAACAATAATAAATAATAATAATCATAATAATAATAATAATAATAATAAATAATAATAATAATAATAATAGTAATAATAATAATAATAATAATCATAATAGTAATAATAATAATAATAATAATAATAATAATAATAATAATAATAATAATAATAATAATAATAATAATAATAATAATAATAATAATAATAATAATAATAATAATAATAATAATAATAATAATAATAATAATAGTAATAATCATAATAATAATAATAATAATAATAATAATAATAATAATAATAATAATAATAATAATAATCATAATAGTAATAAACATAATAATAATAATAATAATAATAATAATAATAATAGTCATAATAATAATAATAATAATAATAATAATAATAATAATAATAATAATAATAATAATAATAATAATAATAATAATAATAATAATAATAATAATAAGAAGAAGAATAATAATAATAATAATAGTCATAATAATAATAATAATCATAATAATAATCATCATAATAATAATAATATTAATAATAATAATAATCATAATAATAACAATAATAATAATAATCATAATATAATAATAATAATAATAATAATAATAATAATAATAATAATAATAATAATAATAATAATAATAATAATCATAATAATAATAATAATAATAATCATAATAATCATAATCATAATAATCATAATCATAATCATAATAATAATAATAATAATCATAATCATAATAATAATAATAATAATAATAATAATAATAATAATAATAATAATAATAATAATAATAATAATAATAATAATAATAATAATAATAATAATAATAATAATAATAATAATAATAATAATAATCATAATAATCATAATCATCTTAATAATAATAATAATAATAATAATAATAATAATAATAATAATAATAATAATAATAATAATAATCATAATAATAATAATAATAATAATAATAATAGTAATCATAATAATCATAATAATAATAATCATAATAATCATAACAATAATAATCATCATAATAATAATAATAATCATAATAATCATTATAATAATAATAATCATAATAATAATCATAATAATCATAATAATCATCATCATCATCATAATAATAATAATAATAATAATAATAATAATAATAATAATAATAATAATAATAATAATAATAATAATAATAATAATAATATTAATCATAATAATAATAATCATAATAATACTCATAATAATAATCATAATAATAATAATAATAATAATAATAATAATAATAATAATAATAATAATAATAATAATAATAATAATAATAATAATAATAATCAGCATAATAATCATAATCATAATAATCATAATAATAATAATAATAATAATAATAATAATAATAATAATAAAATAATCATAATAATAATAATAATAATAATAATAATAATAATCATAACAACAGCAGCAACAACAACAACAACAACAACAACAATGTTCTGTTTGCAATTTCTAATTTTTGGCTGCAGTGCATTCCGTTACCCAAGAAAGTCATCAAGAGGATCAATGTATTTGTCGCTCTTTTCTATGGTCTGGAGGTGATAAACTGACGCGTAAATCCCCAATTGCATGGAAGCGAGTCTGCACACCGACGGAACAAGGAGGGCTGAATATTATTTCTATTGAGGTTTGGAATAAAGCAAATCATTAAATTACTGTTGAATCTGAATGGTAAATCTGATAGCTTGTGGATAAAATAGGTTCACTGTTATTTCTTAAAGAGATGGAATATTATGAATGTCCTTACAAAGTCTAACACTTCCTGGATATTGACAGCAATTCTAAATCAAAGACAAGAAGTGTGTATGAACCCAATTTGACAAAGTATGATGCAGAGTCAAAAGTTTCAAATAGGCAAAGTATGATGTAAAAGTTTCAAAAGTATTGATCTTACCTGATCAGACTTAGACCGTCACGGCTGGTTCGAGTTGACTTGAATGAGAGATGGGGGGGGGGGGGTACCTGCAAGACACTCCGATGCTAAAATGAGAGACGGAATGAGCAGGCAGAAAATGTATAGGTGTGTGACAGATGAATACCTGACCCTCTTGGAATAGAGGGTATTTATATCCCCCAACGCTGGGCCAAAGTCCCCTCATTGGACCGACCAGAACTGACCCAATAAAGGAACTGCCAGGTTCTACGTGTGTAGTGGGGCCCCGCACGTGGTCCCCTTCCTGGTGGTGCTCTACGAAGAATAAGGAGGGATGAAGACGCGGTCTTTCCGGAACTTCAGGGGATTCTATAACGGTTATGGTGAACAGAATCTGCCCTACGGGGAGGGTGCTCGAGCTGGACTCGAGCTGGTGTTCCCTTGGTCGGGGACACTGCTTATCGCGGGCAATGGCGGGCACGGCAGCTGCAGTCTGTGGTCGGGCATGTTTGGTGGTGGTCCGTTCGTGAGCCTTCCTCGAGCAGTTGTTTGGATTTGGGCCTTTATCTGCCTTTTGGGCCAAAGCGGGCCCAGTCCAGAACAGGGGCCCCCCAAGTCGTTGCTCCTGGTGCAGGAGTTATGACTTGATCTTAACTCGCTTTTACTGCGGGAACTTGATGGCCAGACCAGGGCTTTTTGTTTTTCGAAGCGTGCTCGAGGAGTTTCTCGCGGGCTGCGTTCGTCAGATACGCAGGGCAATCCTTGTCGAGGCGTGCTCGAGGAAGTCCTCGCGGGTTGCGTTTTGTCGGATACACGAGGCAGTCCTTGGGAATCGTAACGCCACCCTAGCAAAAATAGGGTCATCATTACCTAGGGGAGTAGATGTCGAGGACGGGGAAGTTCGCTGCTCCCCGGTGCGACATTTCGTATTCCACGTCATCCCTATAAATAGGACCCTTGGGCCCATAATTTGTTTTTCCTCTTCGCGCTTCTCCCACTTTCTCTGATTCCGCCGCTGCCGTTTCCTGCAACGTCGTGAGATCATCGCACCATCCGCCGCTGATTACTTTCACCGCCGTCGTACACACCTCTTTTCTTCCAAGTAAGTGTTTGTTCCTCCTATTTTTCTTCGTTGTAGGTAGTTTTGATGTTATTTTTTATGTTAGAAACCCATATCTGGGAGTAGTGCCTGGCATATTCATGATTGTGCCCGGTAAACTCATAGTTTAGGTACATAACTCGCGATGCTGCCCGTGACCTTCATAGTTTTTAGGCATATGACTCATGATACTGCCCGTGACATTCATGCGTTTGGTCGACATGCCCATGAACTGGCCGGGATGATCATCCTTTTTAGGAAGTATGTAGGGTAGCCTCCTTGCGGGTCCTAGTGTCGGGCAGGTGAAGCCAGGAGCTTGCTCGAGTGATTCCTATTTCGCCCGGGCGTCCGTGCTACTCCCTCGCTGTCCCAACGCGTGGTCGGAGTTGGGGTGTCCGTGCTCGGCTTGTTTTGTACTGCTTCATGTCTCTGTGGCGAGCATGTGGATTTGCTCTCGAATTCACCGGTTTCCTGTGCTTTACAGGTAAATGGCCAACGAACCGGAATCTTCGAGGCAAAATGAAGTCGAGGATACAAGCACCGAGGAGAATGTCACTTTAGTCGATACCGTTGATGACCCTATGTTGGACTGGGTAGGCGCCGAGCCCCGAGGGATTGCCTCGACGTACTGTCGGCGAAGTCGGCGTGCTTATACTGTCGTCGAGCATGGCGGCAGTCAGCCAGATTTTCAAAAGAATTTTGTAGTGTTGAGGCCGTCGATTGATGCGCGCATATGCTTGGATTTTACCAAGTACGGGTTCCCAATGTATGAGATCGTGTTTAGGGATCTCAGTCTTAAGCTACCCTTCAGCGACTTTCAAGTCGGGGTGTTCAGCCACCTGAACCTGGCCCCTTCGTAGGTTCACCCTAACTCGGTAGCCTTCCTTCGGGCGTTCAAGCTGACGTGCCGTTTTTTGAGAATCGGGGAGACGATTCCCCTTTTCTTCAGGGTCTTTCACCTACAGCGCCAGTCTCGAGGAGGCAGGCACAATTGGGTGTCCCTGAAACAGTCGAAGAGGCTGTTCCGGATGTATATGGATTCTGTAAGGGACTTTAAAGATAAATGGTATATTCTACAGCCGGTCACCCAAACCGCCTTGGACTCTTTGTTCGAATTGGAAACCACGGTGGTCGACGCGGACGGGGAGCCCCTCGTGGATGCTGAGGGTCGTCCGACAGTCGAGCGTATTTCTAAGTTCCCGATTCATTGGTGCTCGAGGCACTACGACCATGGCACCGGGTACTATCATACACCGACGGGGAGCATGAGCGCTGAGGACGAGGAGGCCTATTCTGTCCTTTGCAAGTTCGTTGATAGCTTCTTCCCTGCCCGGTGGGTTACGCGGGAGGGGGAAGATATTCTTGAC